GACAGTTGTGTTCAGGGTACTGGTATTGGGGCACACGAATCCAAGAAGTACATGAATTTGGTACAGCATGTACCCAGAGTAGGTCTTTATATGCCGTGTCTGTGTAGACAAGGCACATGCCACCTTCCTCCTGAAGTTCCAGCTGATTGAGTGTGACCAAGAGCTGGTAAGGGCTGCATGCTGGCAAGCACAAAAGGAAGGGCAGGCAAGAGCCCTGACTCTTAAGGAGGCCAGCCTCCAGGCCCAAATGGCAAACAGATGTTTTACATAAGAAAATCAAACTTCATTCTACTTTAAAAAATGAGAAATTGGGAATGGTTCCTGGAAATTCTTATGTGCCTCCAAAACTTTGCTGATGTCCTCCATCCTTGGAGAAGAGTGATGAGTTATCTTTGTGGTGGGGATTTTCCTAGCTGTTAATCTTTTACCCAGTTGTTGTTCTCAATTGGTTTGGCTAGCACTATGGTTTTCTATGATATTTTTACTAGTGGTGATGACACTGGCTTTAGAATCTAGACTGTAAAGTTCTAGTGGTGGTTCTGTCAAGGCGAGCTGGATGGTTATTGGCAGGTCAAATAAACCCCTGGGTTCCCCTTTTGTAAAACAAAACTCAAGAACTCAGGTTTCTTCTAGTTCTAAAATTCTGTCATTCTAGAAATTGATTTGTTATAGGCTTCTTAGAATTACCACAACAATGTAGAACAGTGCAAATTAGCTGGGTTTTTGTTGTTGTTGTTTGTTTGTTTGTTTGTTTGTTTTTTGGTTTGCTTGGTCAAGTTTTCTCTTGCACTTTTCCCACCCCCACCCCAGGTCATGTGGGACTGTCTTTCTTACATCATGTATTGGTTATTTATTGCTGCTTAACAAGTTGCCCTGAAAGTTGCAATTTAAAACAATAAACATGCCAGGTACAGTGGTGCACACCTGTGATCCAGAGGCCAAGGCAGGAGGATTGTGAATTCAAAGCCAGCCTCAGCAACTTATTGAGATACCAAGCAACTCAGTGAGACCCTGTCTCTAAATAAAACAATACCAAAAAAAAAGGGGGGGGGCTGGGGATGTGGCTTAATGGTTCAGTGCCCCTGGGTTCAATCCCAAGTACCAAACAAACAAACAAACATCCAATAAACATGAATTGTCTCACACAGTTTCTAAGATTCAGGAATCCAGGAGGAGCTTAACCTGGTTTCTCTGGCTCAGTACATGCCAAGCTATGGGCTGGAGCTGTGGGAACTGCAAAACTAGTCTGGGGCTGGGAGCTTCACTTGTAAGGATGGGGATGAGATCAGAGAACAAAGAGGCGTGCAGCAGATCTATACACTTTAATTGCAGAAGAGACAACGATGCATATATCAAATACTATTCTCCTAGAAGCACCTCAGTAACTCCAGCCTATGCCCAAGGGGAGAGGAGTTAGCTCTGCCTATATAGGGGAAGAGTTTCAAAGAATTCGTGGACATGTCTTTAAAAGAACCACGGTGAGCTGAACGGCTAAATATTCTTACATGTTGGGAGTAATAAAAGAAATCTCTGCATGCAGTAAAATATGAAATGACATGCCTATTAAAGTTTTTTTTAAAAGATAATTGGTTACAAACAAAATCCTCACGTTTTTCAAATTCAATTACATATTATCCTTGCTTTGAGACTGAGTTTGGAGTTAGCAAAACTTCTTTTTTTTTTAATTTTTTTACTTGTAGTTTCACACAATAACTTTATTTCACTTATTTATTTTTATGTGGTGCTGAGGATCGAACCCAGGGTCTCACATGTGCAAGGCGAGTGCTCTACCGCTGAGCCACAACCCCAGCCTCAGCAAAACTTCTTGACTAAAGAATTGTTCTTACTTATAAATAAACATCCACGAAGGAGCACTCAATTTACCCATCACTGTAAACTGACAGAATACACAACCCTCCTGCCACCAGACTTGTAGGAGAAAGGGGGGAAAGAAACTACCAAATAAGAATGCCTGCCAATCTGACAATGAATAATTCTAGGTGTTTTGTTGTCATTTTTTCTTGTGCATGTAGTCAGGGAGGCGGGAAGGGGCAGTACTAGAGATTGAACCCAGGGGTGTTCTACCACTGAGCTACATCTCCAGCCCATTTTATTTTTTATTTTGAGATAGGGTCTCGCTAAGTTGTCCAGGCTGGCCTCCAATTTGTCATCCTCCTGTCTCAGCCTTCCACATAACTGGGATTACAGGCATGTGTCACTGGGCCCCGCTAATCCTGGATGTAAATTGTTAATTTACTCACATTAATTTACAACAGGCAGTAAAATGGTTAATTGCTACTCTTATCAATATCTCTTCCTTCAGGAAGGTTTGCTACTAGTCATGAGGTTTTTGTTTGCTCTGGGATTAGTAAGGTAAAGAGAACCAAAGGCCAGTTGTAGAATCTGTGCAATATTCTATATCACCCCAATAGGTTATTAAATGAAGGGTCTGCTAATTTTTTTAAAGATGATACAAATCCCTTGTTTAACTTTGCTTTTAAGAAGTTATTTTACAATGTCATGAAATACATTTATTATATTTTAAAAATCAAGGTAACAATGGAGATAAAGGATCTTCATTTGGATCCTGGAAATCCTAGATGCTGTTAACTTTAGAAATTACAATGATTTTCTTCTTCTCCTTCCTCCTCTCTCTCCTCCTTCTTCTTCTTCCAGAATCCTTCAGTGTTGCCCATGCTAGCCTCAAACTTCTACTCAAATTCCTGGGCCCAAGTGATCTTCCTGCCTCAGCCTCCCAAGTAGCTGGGACTACAGGAACTCCACCATGCTCAGCTCTGGCCCCACATTTTTTCCTGCTATCACAGTTTTTCTTTATACTCAACTACTCTTAGTGTTTGCAGCTATTTAAGACCTGACCTGAGATATTTCTCATTATCAAAGTGCAAATTACAGAATATTTTCTTTCTTTCTTTTTTAGATATTGTGGATTGAACCTGGGTGCTCTACCACTGAGCCACATCCCCAGCCCTTTTTATTTTTTTATTTTGAGACAGGGTCTCACTAAGTTTCTTAAGGTCTCACTAAGAGGCTAAAGCTGACCTAGAACTTGCAATCCTCCTGCCTTAGCCTCCCAAGTTGCTGGAATTATAGGCATGCACCACTGCACATTCATCTTTTTGATACTTCTAGTTGACCACATCTTTCTTATCTGTATTTGGGTGGTTTGTGTGTCTGTTTTGCTGGTATTTGTTACATGATTATTTGGGGGATTATTTATCCTTATTTGATTCTGACATATTAAGTGCAGCCTAATTTCTTACCCTACGAAGATAATTTTGAATTCTGTGTATTTGCTGTCCTTCCAGCTATTTGGAAGTATTAGAAAGTCCAGTTGCTCTTTACATCCCTGCCCCTTAGACTTTGAAAGATCCAGCATATTCTTTGCCAAAAAGAGCAGCCTCCTTACTCACGACTCCTCACCCAGCTCTCCTGGAGCAGCTCCAAGTTCCTAGTGAGCTGCAGGCTTGCCACAGGGCTTCCCAGCTCCAGTGAATCTGTGAGTTGTTAGGAAGGTTAAACAGCAACTGACCTGTATCCTGTGTCCTGTGGTAGTCTCCTTCTCACACGTGGTTTGTCCAGTGGGTCATGTCAATTCCAGTGAGTTCTCATGCTCCTGGTCACAGTATTGGCTACCAGGTCCTTGTGCATTAGGCTCTTGGGCAAAGATGGTAGAATTGTGCAAGAGGATATATAGGTGGTTTGTTCTCTTGCCCAGATGCCAACATTACACTAGTTACATTTAGACTTTTAAAATATATGTTTGACTTCTCCATTCTGGGAGGACAAAATGCTGATTTCTTATATTTCTTTCTAATTGGGCTATCTTGGACAAATTAATGAACTATTCTGGCAATGATAAAATGAGGGAGTTGGATTGAGATCACCACCAGTTACCCAATAAGTAGAATTCTATAGTTCATTTCAGTTCTCTGCTTCCATTGAGACACTAGTCTTGTGAGAGGTTGTCTTTAGATGGTATTGGCTCATAGTCTAGTTATTTTCTGTATACTCATATACTGCACTGGGTTAAGGTTGTAAAGTGCCCTATGAGGACCATGATTTTCAACATAAACCTATAGCAAAACTTATCCTGGGTACCTTGATATTGTCAACCACTTTTAAAAGTTATTTGCACAGAAGATATGCAATCTGAATTCCAAACTTAGACCTTCTTATTGGCTGACCGAGGGACACCTAACACTTAACAACTTATACACCAAGTGACCCTTGTCCCTGAATTTCCTACCTTGGTAGCAGCACCATCAAACAATTCAGAGTCAACCCCAGATGTCTTCTCTCCCCTTTCCTGAACTCCAGCCTCCCGCCCATTTTAACAATGTATGATTCCAGGGGTTTTGTCATTGTTGTTTTGCATTACTGGGGATGGAATCCAGTATTGAACTGGGGATTGAACCTCTCTGTTCCACCACCATTTATATTATTTTATTTAATTGATATACTTATTGAGGCAAGGTCTCACTAGGTTACCCATGCTGGCCTCAGATTCCATCTTCCTGCCTTAGCTTCTTGAGGATCTGTGATTGCAGGCAGGCACCATGGTGCCCAGCTTGTTCCTCCACCATTTAATCAACAAGTACTGCTGATGCAGGTTGCCCCACATCAGTCAAAACTGCCCCCTCTTTCTGCCTTCTACTGCTGCCTGAGTGCAGGCTTTTCTCCATAATAGCCTTGCTTACTCAGGGTTCCCAGTCCTCTCATCTATTTTCTGCAGTGATGGCAGCACAATTATTGCAGAATACAGATCTGGCCATCAGGCTCCCTTGACCCTTCAAATTTCCCTCCAGGGATTGACACATAAGACCCATAAAATCCAGAACCCACTGAGACAGATCTACAGGGTACCCTGTGTTCTCCCCTTTCCTTCATGTCTCTACCTGGCTGACTTCACTGTATCTCCCTTTTTAAAGTATATATTCTTAAATTTTCAATTGACTCACAATAATTGCACGTATTTATAGGGTACAGTGTGACATTTCAATGTGTAATGATGAAATCTGGACAATCAGCATTTTGATTATCTCAGACACACTTTCTTTGTGTTGGGGACATTCAAAAATCCTCTTTGCGATCGTGATCGGGGACTCCACCGTGGGCAAGTCGTGCCTCTTGCACCGCTTCACCCAGGGCCGCTTCCCCGGGTTGCGCTCCCCTGCCTGCGACCCCACGGTCGGCGTGGACTTCTTCTCCCGCCTGCTGGAGATCGAGCCGGGCAAAAGGATAAAGCTGCAGCTCTGGGACACGGCGGGACAGGAGCGGTTCAGATCAATAACTCGATCCTATTACCGCAACTCAGTTGGTGGATTTTTAGTATTTGACATTACTAACCGACGATCTTTTGAACATGTAAAAGATTGGCTAGAAGAAGCAAAAATGCACGTACAGCCATTTCAGRTTGTATTTCTACTGGTGGGACATAAGTGTGATTTAGCTTCACAACGTCAAGTGACAAGGGAAGAAGCYGAAAAACTGTCRGCAGACTGTGGAATGAAGTATATAGAAACCTCAGCAAAAGATGCTACAAATGTAGAGGAATCCTTCACAATCTTGACAAGAGACATATATGAACTTATTAAAAAGGGAGAAATTTGTATTCAGGATGGCTGGGAAGGAGTTAAAAGTGGTTTTGTTCCAAATACTGTGCATTCTTCCGAGGAAGCAGTAAAGCCCAGGAAGGAGTGCTTTTGCTGACTTCAAACATGCCAAAGAACMAGAACAAATTGGATGTCGCTTCAGGATAAATATCAACATTAATGGCAGAAGGATGCAATGATAGCATTTTAAAAAGTTAGGCCTATACTAACACTATTTTGTAAGCTATTTGATTCAGAGCACTATGCTTGTTACACTACAAGATTGGGTATTTTGCTAAATTATCAGGCGAGGCAGACAACTTTTTGAAACTGGAGTATCTACATAATTTCCTCCATTCTTACTTCTTACCTTGTTAGCATATAGCTGACCTTAGTGTCCAGATATGTCAGTATTATGCACTTTTCTTGACAGTCCAAAATGGATTTTTTTGTCTGATTGAAGATTTTATTAGGAGTTATATTACCTTGAGTTAATTAATATTGAATATTAAAGTGCATTTAAAAGTATGCTGTTCAATTGCAAAGTAAACAGTCTCAGAAGTATTTTTTAAGAATATAACTTTTTTTAATTTTTTTTTTTTAATGTGGTGCTGAGGATTGAACCCAGGGCCTCACCCAAGGTAGACAAGCACTCTACCACTGAGCTACAACCCAGTCCTCAAAAATATTGACTAGGACAAAAGTAGCTGTTCCTTGTTTAAGATCCCAGATTTTTTACGATTCTCAGAAGTACTTATCCTCTCTTATTTTTGCCTGAAAGTGGGAAAATAAGTTTTATACTCATTTTTTGCTTGATTTATTGCTCTTGAAAATTTTATTTTATAAGATGTATAAGGATTCAGACAAAATATATATATACTTTTTTTAGAGAGCGAGAGAGAGAATTTTTTTTTAATATTTATTTTTTAGTTTTTGGCAGACACAACGTCTTTGTTTGTATGTCGTGCTGAGGATCGAACCCGGGCCGCATGCATGCCAGGAGAGCGTGCTACTGCTTGAGCCACATCCCCAGCCCTCAGACAAAATATTTTAAGCAAATATTTATAAAAACAAAAATGAAGGACCACTCAATCGCAGATATTTTRATGTTGTAGTATACTGTCTGGATTTAGACAAGAAAATACAAAATTTATTTATATACTGACATTTTCCATGAAAAAAGGAATTAACTTTGAACCACTTTCAAAATTTTCCATATAGACACAAGAATGTTTTTAGTAACAGCATTTTTGTCCAAGTAAATTTCCAAATTTTCCCATTTCAATACAATAGAAGTGTAGAAAAAAGACTTTTTTGGACAAGGAAAATGAGTTAGATGCTTGATAAATTTAGCATTCAAATTGCATTTTACAATCTCCCCAGTACAAGTAAAGATAGACGAGATGGATGAGAAWCAGTTAAGAATGTAAAATGACTTTCAACTTTTCTAATTTTGAATTTATTGATTAAACTTTCTCTCAGGACATTTTGAGCATACTATCAAATATTTTATATGACATACATGTCCATTTTGTTCTGTAAACTGTTCTTATTACAAAGAGTTACCAAATGAAGCTGCCTTTCTAGAAGCATAAAATTTTTACCACTGAACTATAGTTTCTTCATTTGTTTGAAAACCAAAATKGTATAACAGAAAGAATATTTTAGCAAGAAATTGAAAAACTTGGTTCTAAACTTGCCTTTGCTTACCAATATTTGACCATAAGGAAGTCATTTGATCTCTTTAAGCATCATTTTTCTCATTTATAAAACAAGGCTAGTGCTGGGCATGTTGKTGCACACTTGTAATCCCAGCAATTTGGGAGGCTGAGGCAGGAGGATCACAAGTTCAAACCCAGCCTCAGCAATTTAGCAAGGCCATAAGCAATTTARTGAGACCCTATCCCAAAATAAAAAATGAAAAGGTCTAGGGATATAGCTCAGTGATCAAGGGCCTCTGGGTTTAATCCCCAACACCATAAAAAAAAAGACTAATAACCTCATTTATTGAGTTTCATGGAATTATTTTAAGAATCAAGTGAATCATGAAAATAAAAAGCTTGTAAATAGAGAAAGCATTCACAAATGTGAGGTTGATRTTGACTGCTCATGGGCATACCAGTATATTTACAGTGGATGAGAATTTTTTATCATCTTTCCTTTTATGTGTGTTCAGAAGGGGCAAAAGAAGGTACATGTTTTCATGGACCTGGGGGATTTCTTGGTTGAAGCTTATCYTCTGCCCTTTTACCCTGAACCACTATTCCTCCAAAGCAGAAATGATAGGGAAGGAAGTCCCCAGARAATTAATTCAATCAAAAGTCACATTTGAATGTGTTTTTTGTGTATCTTTGAAGTGGATATTTAATTGTATTTTCAAATACTTGTACATTTTCTAGGTTCTTGTATGTATTTTCAATAGTGTTTATGAATAGAAGAATATAAATTATGTCACTGTAAAATTTTAAATATTTACATTGTCAACTTTTTTATATTATTAAATTGATTTCACATGAAAAAAATCCTCTTTGCTAGTTATTTTGAGATATTCACTTTATCATTGTCAACTATAGTTATCCCACTATGCTAAAGAAGACTAAAAGCAATTCCTCCTATCCAACTGAACCTCTGTACCTGTTAACCACCCCCTCCCCATCTCCCCTTCCCCAACTGTATCTTTGGGACTTACCATGATGGTTACCTTCTTTAAGAGTCTTCTGTGACCCTCTCTTTCCAATTTTTATTCCAAGCAAGACATACCTCCTTGGTGCTCAGGAATATCTTGGGTTCTTATTATGATTGTTGATTTAATTGTCAGTCTGCCCACATGCCCCCTTCACTGGACTGTAAAGTAACATGTTTTGTTTTGTGGTGCTGTGGATCAAACTCAGGGGTACACACATGCTAGGCAAGAACTCTATCACTGAGTGACATCCCCAGTCACCAGAATGGTCTCTTTGATGCTAGTACAGTAAGAATTTGGTGAGAGCTGGATATAAAACACATTTTGCTGCCTAGATTTTTTTTCTATAGCACAATTTTACTAAAAAAAAATCTCTTGTTCACTTTAAATTTTTGAGACAAAATAGGTAAAGATAGTCTGAATGGTAAAAGTTCATCTAAAATGAATTCGGTCCAAAGCAGTTATAATCCCAAATAAAGATTTCATTTTCTTGAAATTCTTCAGAAAATACTGGACGCTGGGGGGAAAGTTGTCTTAAAATGTCCTCATTAATTAGTTTCCTCAACAAATATTTGCTGAGGGCAAACTGTTTGCCGAGCCCTGAAATAAGCACAGGGAGATGGCAGGAGGCCACGAGACCAAGTTCTCATTCTTACAGGACTTGGAGTCTGATGAGGGACTAGAAGCTTAAACAAGTAAAAAAACAAATGGAAAAAAAAGTCTAAGATATGAAACAGCAATGAATTAGTAAAGGCTGGATGTGGGTGTAGAAAACAAAAATGGAACTGTGTGGATGGACACAGTGACATATAAGCCAAGTTCTAAAGTATGGGAGAAACCATTCTAGGCAAAGGAAAGGGTCTGTGTAAAGTCCCAAGGTGGACAGGGTCTTGGAGAAATAGAAAATACCCTTGTGATTGCCACTTTGAAAATGAGGGAGGAGCATGGGAGGAAGGTTAGAATAGTGAGCAGAGGCTGACACATTGTCTAGAAAGTTAGAATTTGATCCGAAATGCCAGGGAAGGGGATGGGAGTGTGGCTCAGTGGTAGAGGCTGTGCTTAGCATGTATGAAGCCCTGGGTTCAATCCCCAGCATCAACACTCCCCCAAGTCCCCCAAAAAGCAAGAGGAAGCCAGGGAAAGATTCCTTCAAGGGCCAACAGGCTTCAATTTATATTTTTAAAGATGTGTATAGAATAGGAGAAAAATCGACGGACTCTGGGGTTAAGTGAAGAGTTCTTCTTAGACTTGAAACCAAATTCCTAAAAGGGAAAATTGAGAAATTTGACTATATCAAAATGAAAACCTTTTCATTGACAAAAGTTCCTATTGAAGGGGATGAAGATTTGAGATACAGACAGGGAGAAACATGTTTGCAAATCAATATCTGACAAGTAACTCCTAACTAGAATACATAAAGAACTCTCAAAATGCAACAGTGGAAGAGAAAAAAAGATTCAAACAATCCAATTAGAAAATGAGCAAAAGACATGAAAAGACATTTTGCTGAAGATGATACACAGACAAGCATATGAAAAGATGTTCAAAATCATTAACCATCAGGGAAATGCAAATTAAAACCGCAGTGAGATATCACCACACATCTATCAGAATGTCTAAAGTAAAAAATAGCGACACCACCAAATGTTGGCAAGAAGGATGTAGAGAAACTGGATCACTCATGCACTGATGGGAATATAAGATGGGATAGTCACTCTGTAAAACATTGTGGCAGTTTGTTAAAAAATGAAACATGTAACTACCATAGAGCTCAGCAATTTTACTCTTTGGCATTTATCCCGGAGAAATGAAAACTTATGTTCACACTAGAACCTGTACATGAATGTTCATAGCAGCTTTCTCTGTAATAGCCAAAACCGGGAATTAGTTCAGCAGTCTTTCAATGGCTGAATGGTTACTCAAAATGTTGTGTATGCATACCATGGAATACTACTCAACAATGAAGAGGAATAAAATTCTGCTACGCCAAGAAAGTTGCATGGATCTCCAGAGAAATTTGCTGAGCAAAACCAGCCAATCCCCAAAGGTTTCATACTGTATGATCCTATTTATACATGTTATTGAAATGAAAAATTTTAGAAAGGAGCTGAGTGGTTGCACTTAATTAGTGAGTGGTTGCACATAATTAGTGAGGGAGATTAGTTGGTTACACAAAGGCAACAAGAGGGATTGTTATAGTAATAGAACTCTTCATATGTCTCTTGACTGTGGTGAAGAATATACAAAAAATAAAACTGTATAGAATAAATATTCATATACACACATGAGTACAAATAAGCTAGGCATAGTGGCCACAGCTGTAATACCAAGAACTCAGGAGGCTGAGGCAGGATGATTGCAAGTTTCAAGGCCAGCCTTAGCAACTTAGCAATGCACTCAGCAACTAGGTGACACCCTGTCTCCAAATAAAAATAGAAATGACTTTGGATGTAGCTCAGAGGTAAAGTGCTCCTGGTTTAATCCTCAGTACCATACCAAATCAAACCAAAACAAAAGCAAATGAGTACAAATAGAACTAGAGAAATCTGAATAAAGTCAGTAGATTATATCAATATCAATATCCTGATTATGGTAATATATGACTTTGCAAAATGCTACA